CTATTTTCCTTTTGGAAGATTAATTTTTTCTCGTTGGTATGAAAGACTTAATATACACCATTTTAGAGAAACTGACCCTTTATCAAATGTGTTGAAATATATCTTCTCCTATGTTATTATTTTATTTGACAACTTTTGGCAAATTGCACTTTGAAAAAAAAATCTATCAATTTTTCTAGGGTCTCTATTTTGACATCAGGCTTAGAGAGGCCAGTCTCACCTAGAATTTGTATGCAATTCATCATCGTTTAAATCTAATGATTTTCTTTTTATTATAACTTAATTACTACTTGTGACTGCTAAGGTAGAAATGTAACAATATTTGTTTCCATATGGTAGTTCAATACCCGAAAGAGAACTTATTAAATAATTGACTATTTCCTTGTGGATATTAACATATAACTTTATCACATGAGAAAATATTACATACATGTGGTTCTCTTTCTGGATTTTCCACTGTGTTCCTTGAATCTTGTCATTCTAGTGCCAGTATTGCCCTCTCTTCAGCACTGTAGCTTTGTAGTTCTTTTCACATTCTGATGAGGTTTCTCTCATTATATTTTTGTTTTAAGAATTTTCTGTGCATTCTAGTGTGATCTCAATTTTCTCCCTTCCCATTTTTAAACCGTGGGACTTCTGTCCAGCAAGACTTTTTCACGCTCCAAGGCAGACAAGCTCCCCAGCTTCACAAGAACCCTGAGAACTCAGCTTTCAGAGCTGCTCCTTTGGCAGCCTCACGTCCTGCACGTGTGTTCCAGTGGCAGAGGGAGACCACCCAGAGCCCCCTCCCTTTCTCATTTCCAGCTGTGATGACAGCAGAAACTAAACTGTCTGAGCTGGGCCAACTCCACAACCGAAAGGGACATTGTTCTACATTTCATTACGCATATTTCAAACTTGTGTCTTCTTATAGAGGAGGTGAAAATCTGTGTATGCCTTAGTAAATTTTCACAATTATATTACTGTACTTGTTTTTTCCCCTATATTTCCATCTGTGAATCCAGGTGCACTGCAGATCTCAGTCTGCTTTCTGAGGATAGGGCTGACAAATAAAATATACAATGACAGACAATTTGGAAGTTCACGTAAATAACAAGTTTTTAGTTTAAGTATGTTCCAAATATTGCATGACATGGCACCCTGAACTACTTTAAAAAACAAACAAGGCCGGGCGCGGTGGCTCAAGCCTGTAATCCCAGCACTTTGGGAGGCCGAGATGGGCGGATCACGAGGTCAGGAGATCGAGACCATCCTGGCTAACATGGTGAAACCCCATCTCTACTAAAAAATACAAAAAACTAGCCGGGCGAGGTGGCGGGCGCCTGTAGTCCCAACTTCTCAGGAGGCTGAGGCAGGAGAATGGCGTGAACCCGGGAGGCGGAGCTAGCAGTGAGCTGAGATCCGGCCACTGCACTCCAGCCTGGGCGACACAGCGAGACTCAGTCTCAAAAAAACAAACAAACAAACAAACAAAAACAAACTCCTATTTCGATGAACAAAAATCCTCTCATAAAGAGATCACACCCACAGGATCACATACACACACACACCCCACATACATACACCCATTCATCTTAGAGCAGAGTCCAAGACCCACCAACACACATGATCCTCAGTCCTTTTTTATTTTATTTTATTTATTTTTATTATTATTTTTTATCATACTTTAAGTTCTAGGGTACATGTGCCCAACGTGAAGGTTTGTTACTTATGTATACATGTGCCATGTTGGTGTGCTGCACCCATCAACTCATCATCTACATTAGGTATTTCTGCCAGTGCAAACCCTCCTCCCTCCCCCCACCTCACTACAGGCCCCACTGTGTGATGCTCCCTACCCTGAGCCCCTGTGTTCTCATTGTTCAATTCCCACCTATGAGTGAGAACATGCGGTGTTTGGTTTTCTTTCCTTGCGCTAGTTTGCTGAGAATGATGGTTTCCTGCTTCATCCATGTCCCTACAAAGAACATGAACTCATGCTTTTTTATGGCTACATAGTATTCCATGGTGTATATGTGCCATATTTTCTTAATCCAGTCTATCATTGATGGACATTTGGGTTGATTCCCAGTCTTCGCTATTGTGAATAGTGCTGCAATAAACATACGCCTTGGGTGGTACCTCCAAGTGTCCTTGCAGATGTGAAAAGCAAGGTGGTTCAGTTCCCTAATCAGAGACTTCCTGGCAGGAGAAGGTCCTGGCATTAGCATTAGCTGCTGCAACTCTGAAGAGCAGGTTGTGAGCCTGCTGTGGGACTGCCCTCTCCCAAGGGCCATGGTTAGCTGGTGCAAGGGCCAGCTTTCCCCACATCAGCACTCCCTCTGCTGCGGGCCTGAGCTCTGCATGCCCCTGGCTCTCTTCTGCAGAGGGCCTGCTCTCAGCTGCCACAAGAGGGCGCAGGAGAACGGACCTGAGCAGAGAGCCAGGAGCTCCTCTGCTGGTCCTCCCAGGCACCACCCCTGCTGGGAGGAAGGCTTGGGAGTCCCCTGAGACAGATCCTCAGTCTCTTCTTTCTGCCTGTGTCTCAGAAAGACCAGCTCCTCCTACTGTCTTCTGTGCTAGGGATCCCTTCCTTGTTGAGTGGGACCTGAGTTTTGAGAGGATCTTCTGTTCCTCTTCATCCAATCCCTTTCCTTCCAAGACCCAAGAGAGGAAGGCATGTGGTGGGCCCCAGTCCTGCTTCTAGCTTTCCTGTCTCCTGGTGAGTGTGCTGCCTATAGAGAGGTTTTGTTTTGTTTTGTTTTCTTCTTTCGCAAGGGATGCCATACTAAGGAATGTCTCATTATATTTTGTGTTGCTTTCCATTGCAGCCAGTCAGAAATCTTCCAATTTGGAAGGGAGAACGAAGTCAGTCACCAGGCCAACTGGGTCATCCGCTGAAATCACCTGTGATCTTCCTGAAGTCAGTAGCTTCTACATCCACTGGTACCTACACCAGGAGGGGAAGGCCCCACAGCGTCTTCTGTACTATGACTCCTCCAACTCCAGGGTTGTGTTGGAATCAGGAATCAGTTCAGGAAAGTATAATAGTTATGGAAGCACAAGGAGGAGCTTGAGATTGATACTGCGAAATCTAATTGAAAATGATTCTGGGGTCTATTACTGTGCCAACTGGGACAGGCACAGTGATTCAGACCTGCCGAACACCACACTGAAAATCTGCCGTGTGGCTGCTTCTAGTACACAGGATAGAGCCACCCGCTCTCACTTCCTGCCACCACATTTACTGTATGCTGAACAAGAGAAACACAGCTTAACTCCTGATCTCCCCTGCAGGATTACACTCCCCTGGCAGCAGCTGCCCCCTGTTCCCCACCCTCCCCCAGGACTTCCCTGAAGACCAAGCTGCCATCTCAGCTAAGCCTCAGCGAAGCAGCCTGGCTGAGAGCAAGGTTCTTTAGCTCTCCTAGGACGT